AAACCACACTGTGTGCCGCAAACGAGCTCGATGTGACGTACCATGCACCGCAGACAGGCCCAACAACGGGACCAAGCAAAGGGGCCAATGAATAAATAGCGATAGCCTTTCCACGTTCCTCAGGACGCCAGACGTCGCCGAGGACACCTCCGCCGATCTAGAAGTACGTCAGGGGTTGCAGCGTGTATTTCTGAATTGACTTACGGCGAGTGGGGCACTTCCACCTATGCCCGCTAGAAATCTAAAAGCAATGAATTGCCCTTTGTTCTGTGCGAACCCGCACCCCAAATTCCATGCTGTAGAGTATATCAGCAACGGTCGTATATGATCATTGGATCGCAGGCTTCTGCGTACCGAGATAAAAGAGATTCGACAATTGGGTGACGCGCGAACGTCCATATATCTCACTGAGTGGCCCCATAAACTAAGCTCGCAATTAAATCAACTATCCCAAGAGTGAAGATTTAGAACATGCTTACGAGAGGTCCAATAGCTTTTCATAGTTGACGCTGAGAACAAGTTCACACGGAAAGGGCGCGGTAGACCCACCATAACCCAAAACAAAAATGGAAGTCATCATGGCAATAATCGTGTTATCCGTTACGCCAAAGTCAGCCGCAACGCTTAGCGTCGCTGGAGCAACCATAGACGAAGACACCGGAGATATGAATGTGAACGAAGACACAACGATTGTGGCAGCCCATTTTCGGCGATATGGCCAACTAACGAGGATACATGAGCCGTGTCTCCTTTTCACGATCCGGTGCAAGCCTCTTACTTCTTCGGGTTGGCGGGGTCGTCCGGACCATCCCAGTCAACGAGCAGCGCGTCATTAGGCGATGCCTCGTTTAGGGGAGCAGGTTCACCCTTGTCGTCGAGTGTGGGTGTCGGGCTGGTCTCGTCGACGTTGCGAGGCATGGTACGTGGAACAAAGGCTAAGAGATCTCATGGCCCCTTTGCTCAGGTTTTATCGACGTCGACCATAACGGTTGCATACCCGCTGACACGCATTTCATGATCAGTTTTCCAGGATCGACTCGGTGATAATTGCCGCGGTCCTGCCGGCAAGAGCTGCCGGCAGGGCCGTATATTAATAGATTATTAATAGACCGGAATTTCTGTTCAAAAACTCGAAAGCCATAAGACTCTATCGGGAAAGCTGGGGTATTTGTGGCCAGGAAACCTCTAGATATCTCGGCCTCAATTATGATTGTCTGGACTATAATGGACTTAGAGCAGGAAGCAATGATGGAGCCGTTCAGGTTCAATGGTAGTTATTCAATTTAGCCTGGTTGAGAATCCGTGAACCTAGGCGCGGACGGAACATGACTTGAAGTTGTTGCGTGCGGTTGAAACTATTCAAAATTGTAGGAGCGAGTCATGGAGTGAGGTTAGAACGAAGGAAAAGTTACCACCAAGCTGATAATCACGCTGATGTCATGAGGCCATGTGTTTAAATTACTCCGTTTGTGAAGTTTGAACTTCACTCTGCTTGCACTCATCTTGCCTGCAGCCAAGCCCGGGCCAACATCTCGCCAACATCTCACAGAAATGTTGCTAGCAAATTAGTTGCCAAAACTCTTCAGACCCATCTGTACAGGTTTTCAGCCCCAAACGAGCTGGTTATGACGGTTAGCTCGTGCCAGTAGAATTCGTTTTCTCGTATGCGAGTCCACATGACACAGACTGGCAGAGAGGAGTCTGCCGGAATTGAGGGCACACTAATGGCTCTTGTCGTAAAAGTAAGTAGCACACAATTCAGATATGTGCGCAACAAGATGCCTTGTGGTGAACTCATGATTCAGATCTTCGCGGCGGTTTGCATGGCATGAGAGGAGGAAAATTACTGCCTAGAAACAGGAAATAGCCTATTCACCATTTTGGTGCTCGCATACGGTTGGTTTGGACTTTGTTTTTGACTGTAAGTATCCGTTGGAGTCGGTTGGGCCGATGTCAGACGGTGGACCTGCCGCAAATCGGAACTCTAGCTGCGCTTCCATTTCGGGAAGAGATGAGTCAGATTATTAACATCGTCAACAGCGATCAAGTTTCCTTTTGGGCTCTCAAACTTCTCAAACTTCTCATCTACAAATTCAAATCATGCCCTGCACCTGTGGATCGCTGAGCCCCACGCGCTGCCTCTGCACAATCGACGAAGCCCTCCGCAACATCGATGTCGACCTCTGCTCGACAATACCACTATCTTCTGCACAGACCGACGCGCTCAAATCAACCGAGGACGCGCTCCGCAGATGCAACGCGACCTTTCGCGCTGCGAATGACTACAACCGGCGCGTACTCGTATACTTTCGCCTCATCCCTATTATAGACCGTCTGTACACGCTGACGAGCGTCGAGGGCGCCGACGCGTTCGATGGGCTTGCGGAGTGCTTGCTTCATCAGCGCATATGGGATAGCGCTATTGAGGCCGCACAGAGCGTTTTAAAGACGCGAGAAGAGCCGCGTTTTGGTGGCGCAGGAGTCGGGACGGCGTATGATAGGGGAAAGTCGAGGAAGGCTATGGCGAAAGCGCTGGAGGGGCAGGGGAAGTTACTCGACGCGAGAGTCGTCCGTTTGCGTGGAAAGGAAACTGATACGTTGGTTTGCGCATATGCCGAGGTGCGTCTCGTTCTCCTTAACCTTTCTAATTTCTTTTAAAACTGAGAGGTGCTTTCCAGTGTGCTGGTAACAGAACGTTCCCAATCTCTGATCTACGTCAATGCAGTGCATGCAAGTGCATCTTCTATTGCTCCGCCTCTTGTCAGGTCAGTACGCTTCCAGAGACTTGACACTACGACTATTGAATAAAACTCGCACAGACATCGGACTGGACAAGGCACAAGGAGCCCTGCAAGGCGCACGGTCCACAGGCTAAAGTTCAAGTTGACTGTGAATGAAAACATGGTACTGGCCGATAAGCAATCCAAAATTTCACGTTGTCCACTCCTCAAGCTTAGCACTACACCAGATAGATATCAAACGGTCTACAGCTCGTCGATCTTGAAATGGTATCCCGTAAATACAGCATGGTTAATTTGCGGTCCAATTAATTGCGGCCATCCAATTCAAGTGCTGTACTTTATAGCCTTGACACCTACGTAAATTCGATATTATTTCTCTGTAATTCCCCAGACTATTACCCGTTCCTATCCGAGTCAGGCAGAGTCCCTGGCTGAGGACACAGGGCCATCGATAATTAGAGGTTGCACCGCCACCAGAATCTATTTTTAGACCGCCAATCTTTTGACACAAGCAAATCCAGATTTATATCCTCAGCGCGGCTGTAATGAGTAGGAACGTTGAGTAACGAAGCGTGTTTGATATTATAAGACAGCTCGAGGGCCCTTTTACTAGGCGATCACACAGTCGCCAGTTGGTAGCCCATCCTCGCCAATGCCCATCCCGGTAGGCAGATTGCCCATCAGCTCCTCTGGGGGCGAGCCGTGTTCTTGCAGCTATCACGGAGAATTAGCTATGTTTCATAACGTAGACTCGAGCGAGATGGGTATTTACCTCGGCCATGAGTGCAGTTATGTTTTGCGTCACGGCAGGATCTTCGCCGTTGTATGATGGATCGTCGAACACGGCGAGGATCTTGTGGACAGATGCAAGTTGCTGCTCGTACCTCTGCCTGTCTTCCGCAGATATCGGTGCTGGAGGGTTCGCAAGGTATGATGGGAACTGTAGCATATCACGCCGACCATGAGCCTGAGACGTGAGGGAGTCGTTGGACAAGGATTACGCACTTTGTCTGCGAGCTCTTTGATGGGTTCGTAGAGTATGTCCTTGCTCATTAGCTCGTTCATCATGGTATCCATCAGGCCGGCAAAGTCTTCATCGTTCTCGCCGTCGCCGCCTAACGATGCAAGCAGCGCTTCGAGGTCTTTCGGTGGCCCACCGGCACCTTTCTCTGTGGAGCCCTGTGGCCCACGTTGGCATTGGAGATTGGCACTGAAAGAAATGGAGTCGTACCTTGAGAGTAGACTCGCCCTCCCGCATCTTGTCGAGCGACTTTTGGATTTTGTCCTGGAAACTGTTCTTCGTCGCTGAGGGCGCTGGCCCTTTCTCTTTACTCTCCTTCCCTTTCGTCTCGTTTGGCCCTTGCGACTCGCTTCCCAAGAACTCCTCCAGCCCTGCGAGATCATTGCCGGCCATACCATCCATACCCTCAACTAGCATCTGCTCCCAAGCCGCCTTGAACGCTTTCGCTAGCTCCTCATCATTCATTGGTCCACCCTCTGCATCACCTCCTTTCTTTTCCAGTTTATCCTTCCCCTTCTCGCCTTGTCCAGGCGCACCCATACTGATCTCGCGCATCAGGTTCTCCATCCCCTTCGCTAGCTCCCGCGAGAAGTCTGCCGACAATTGGTCTTCATCTGTCTCTACGGTCGAGTCTAGTCCTGCACCCTGTCCAAGGCCACCAGGAACAGACTTCGGGGGCGCGTCTACGCGTGTATTGGTGCGTGGCCGACCAAAGGTGGTCGCGGTGGCCGTTGAAGGTGGTGGTGGCGGCAAGCCTGGAGTTTGTGGGGTAAACTGATCGAGGACATCTAAGTTATAGGCCAGTTAGTTAGTTGCATAGTCCTAGAAAAGAGTAGGCCATACCGTCAAGATCTTCAAGATCATCATCTGACTCTGCGAGATTAGATAAAGATGACTTTTTGTCCGATGTGGCCATGCTCGAAGGGTAAGAAAGCTACCTCAACTTTGCTTGTTATAAGGACAAAACAAGAGTTTCGATCCTGTGGTATTGAAACGAAGTCGTCGTCGACAATAGATGTCGGTTGTTGATGAAAGTCTAAAGAAGGCTGAAATATGGCCACCGGCAACCGGCACTGGGAAACCGGGTAAAAATGATCGAAAAAGTCAAGAGACAGACAGCTAAACATTTTCTCAGAGCGCTAGTGTGGGTATCTGCAGTGAGTAACAGAGGAGTCTGGTCTAGAAGGACTCTCGAAGAACGTAAGAAACTTCGAAGAGAATGATTGACGTAAAAATATCTCTCTGCCTGGGAGTCGAACCCAGCTTTCGCGCGCAACATATAACATGACAGGCGCGTGTACTAACCGATATACTAGCAAAGAACTTGAAGGTTGGGTTAAAGTAGGACCCATAACTCCTCTTTGCATTCATGTGCAGTGGCGCTACATATTTCTGATTTCGATTCGTGTAAGCGCGCCGCCACACACGGAGTAAACGCCGGGCCCAGGAGCTCTGGCAGTACCTGCTGGGCTTATCTTGGAGCCCCAATCCATAATACTTCTTTCAACGTAGGCGACAGTACATCATTCTGACTCCCAAGTTGTATACGGCGAGGTATCGCCGTCAAGTCAAACCGGATACACCCAATGCTATAAGGACCGTCGAAGTAGTCATCGCGCGCTGCACGGACTTCATGAATGGCGAGGAGCTTCGGCTCAATATCTGAAGGAAACTCAGGTATTTTTAGAGACCGCGTGCGCACCTTACAACAGGCGCCGAGTAGCCGCCACTACGAAATGAAGCTGGGCGGCCAATTGCATAATTGGTCCTATGCCTGCGAGCTGTCAGATAACTGTCGCAGTCCTGCCTTCAAGGGGAACACGCTTTTTCCCGTAACAAACCCGGTCACGGACGACTTGGGATCTCCATGGACCACATAAACCTATAATTCTAAATCCAGCAAGGATCTAGCCGTAGCGTTTATGTCCACGGTACGTTAGACTGAGGGGTCGGCTGCCCTGTTGTTTGTGACCGTCATTTTTCTTGATCGCTGAACGTTCAATGGGAATTAGAGATTTGAGACATTAACACCCTGTCTCTTGTTACTCCGTGGACCGAGTGGCATTGCGACCGCTTAGATTCCATTCGCGGTCTACGGAAGACATGCGCGACCGCGGTTAGCAGTGGCAGACATGCAATCCTTCGTGTTGATCAGTGAAGAATTTGTCAAGAATTGGCGGTCGTCTGGCTATATCGGCATAGAAACCGTTTTATGAATGCTCTCGTCTGGGCGAGTCCCTGCTACATGGTTAATCAATTAATCCTAGTATGTATATCGCGGCTTGAGCTGGGAACTCACGGAATGGCTGTCAAGCCAGGTCAGATTGATATCAAATGGACACTTACAGCTAGGGTCGAGGTTTCGCGACAGGACCTTGTCGATGCTGCTGTCGGCGATAGAGGTTATCTCGAGCAACTGAAGCCAATGGATTCCCGCCAGTTAGGCCTTTTACGAGGTTCCGCCGTGCTGTGCCCGAATATTGACGTTGATAATCTAAAATCAGATGGAGCCACAGAACAACGGACCCTCTGGCTGAGACAGCTTAAATATGCTGTTTACCTGAGAAGGAACGTTCCATAGTTGGTCACACATACGTCTGAGAACAAGGTTGGAAGGGCATCCGGCAGGTGCGCACGTATTCCTGAAAGGAGGGTGAGCCGTGCACAGCCTTGGACGTCGCGTTTCACTCGTCTGATCTCCCACCACGCGTACGCGACTCGGGTAACAACCCCGATGATCCGCACGTAGTTCGGCACTGAACAGTCAATGAAATGGAGCTCCACCCTGGCGGGCGACCTTGGAAGGAGTGGCTACGATAGGTCTAGCCTCAGAGTGGAGGTAGAGATCAATCGCGAATAACAATAGAACGTTTGTCTCGCTGGCGTTCCTTGTCGGGGTACCTTGATATGAAAACCTTTGAAGACAGAGGCCCATGATAGGGCCTCAGGACAAGGTACTGCCGTACGTAGGGGTGGCCGTTGACAGTCAAGCTTGACGGATGAGCCATTTGAAGTAGGATGAAACCTGAGCGTGCTTGTAAATTTTTTTTTCATTCACCTTCCTATCGTACACGTCCAGGAACTAGTACATTTGGGAACGCTGGTTCACTTGCCATATCGTTCGAGCCAAGCCCCGAAGCCAAGTTGTTTCCGTGAAATAAAAGATCGTTGAGCGTCACCATAAACGACAGTTCAGTAGCCTCGACCAGAGTAGTAATATGCCTGCAGATCGTTATTTAGTCGCAATACTGCCGTTATCCGGAAGTCCATACCGGTGTGTAACCTTGAGATGGAGGGCGGTCTGGGTAAGGCGATATGAAGAACTTTAAGGAACCAGCAGGATCACCGTAGTCGCGGCAAAGTTCGAACAGCCGTGCGTCTGTGAGGGCACCGCCAATGGCAAACGATCCAATCTCTGTCTGGAATATTGAGAAACTCGCTTGATTTTCGTCGGGTATACAAAGCTACAAGGGAAAGTCGTCCTCAATTCAAAATAGCATTTTGAAGTCACAAACCTTGGCTAACAACCGTTCACGGATGGCTATGCCACTCGGAGCGCCACTGATATCGACCATTCGGTATTGCTCTGCATTCGAGCTCACGACGACACACACTGAGGGTAAACGCGATGATGCCCTAAAGGTATGAGTCAGAGTAGATCGGGATGCAAAGTCGTTTTAGGTCGGCGACACAGTTAACTCACATAGAGTTTCGTGAACGGGGCCTAAAAGGCCTTCATTGAGCACTAAAATAATGTCAGAGAAATTCCATTGAACGTACATCGTTAAATATCCGGAGTGGGTGCCCTGATGTCGTTGTGGAAATCAGTTCTCTTGTGTGATATATAAGTTAATTTATTCATCAACGGCCCGTGACCCAAAGGTGCTACACAAGCCAAAGTAGTAACTAGTAAATGATGGAGAGGTCTGGGCTGTCGGGTTGTGATCGTGATCCACAGTCCAACGAAGATGTGGACAAATGCGGCTGGAGCTCCAGCGGGTGATGTTCAAATCTACCGCAGAGTCCATTGATGCGAAACCTTGTAAACCGTGGAATAAGATCCTTGCAGGTCGGACAGCAGTTCCAGATGACTGAAGGAGGGAATTGACAGTGGGTGCCCGGCGTTTATACCCTGGTTTAGATAGTCGGGTTATCCGGAAGGCTACGACAGGGTTGCTATGGTTCGAGCCGATTCCCAATAGATATTTAGTGTTTTAAGAAACACTGGAAGGGTGCGGTAACAAGACCTGGAAGTGGAGGAAGGAGAAAGCCGTTCACCAAACAAGAATAATCAAAAAGCCATCTTCTTGCAAACCACGACGCATGGGCGCTAAATGGATAGTTCAACACTAAGCTTTTCCAACAGAACTCTTTCTGACGTTATTGAGCCTCGAGCCTCGGCCACGGGATTACGCTGATCATCAAGCTGCTGTGAAAATTCCGCCCATGATAGAAGTGTTTTAGCTTGATCTTCACTCGTGGATGTCTGCAGGAATGCTACTGCTATCACTTACTTGATTGCCTAAAGGAAGTAGCAAACTGCCTCTTGAAGTTTTGCTGCTAATACTATGGCCTCTTCTCCTGATGGCATCTTACACTCAATTATCATGAGAAACTCTTGAAGCTTCCGCACCACCAGTAAATTTTCATCTCGCGGCGTTCTTGCCGTGGAATCACAGTCAGCTCCTCATCCTCCCGTCATCGTGCCCTTCGGTGGTTTCAGGATCACTCCGAGGCTCGGAGTAGCCTGGGCTGACCAACGTTATGGTTTTGGCTATTCCTAATAGTATCACGTGTGGTGAGCTCGTTAGAATGACTGAGACGGTCGCCATTTCTGAGAGTGACTATATTAAGCGGTCAACATTCCGCCTAACTTGGTGATCATCTCAACTCTACGTTCAGACTTCCACTATCAAGTCAAACAATCCTCAAAGAGATCATGCCATCGGTCAAAGTCGGCGACACCCTTCCTCAGGGAACGTTCACCTACATCCCCTACACTCCTGAACTCGAGGATAAGGTCAATAATCCCTCTAGATGATACATACCTAAACTGAACAACTTCACAACAGCTTGCTTGTGGCCTTCGTAAGTGATCAGCGAATATGACTGAAGGAATGAGTCGATATCAATCATGATCGATCTCATCAGCAATCAAGCTCTCGACAGAAGAATGGCAAGGCAAGAAAGTCGTCCTTTTCTCCGTTCCTGGTGCTTTCACGGTGCGTCCATGGAGCGGCGTGAAGATGCGCCTGACCCACGGCTTCATATGGATCTGATCTTTTGTTGTAGCCCACTTGCCATGCTAAACATCTGCCTCCTTATCTTGAGAAGTATGACGAGTTCAAGGCAAAAGGGGTAGACACGATTGCCGTACTCGCATCGAACGATGCATTCGTCATGAGTGGGTGGGGTAGAGTTGAAGGGCTCAAAGACAAAGTCGGTGATCTAATTAGGGGATGTCCATTTTGAGAGTGGCTCACGCCAGATTTGCAGATCCTGACCTTATCAGACACCGGCGCTGAATGGTCGAAGTCCCTGGGATTGTCTGTTGAGACTCCTGGATTTACTCGCACCGCACGCTACGCCATTATCATCGATGATCTCAAGATCAAATATATTGAGGTGAATCATATCGTTGGATTTTCGCATGCCGAGATGAATTAAATCCATGCCATGCCAGGTTGAACCAGCTCCAGGTGTTACCGTTTCCGGCGCTGAGGCAGTCCTGGCTCGCCTCTAATCCGTGTATTCATGCACTATGCGTCGGCTGCAGGCGAAGCATTGGTGTAATAGACGTACTCTTAACAACGCTGATTTCAATGTAACCACCTGGTCTAACCATGTTGAACCGAACCGATACAACATACACCGTAATAATAGACAGAATATCAAAATTAAGCCCAGGGATTGTCATCATCATCATACCCGTGAATAAGTACACGCGCATGAATGGGTGGTGTCTCCGCTCTTGCTACGATACCCTCCGCTTCGGGCACCTGGCTACCATCAACACCTGTACTGAAGTTATCTCCATCCTCAGCTTCAATTACATCAAGCAGATCCTCCGCTGCTTCTACTCGGTTTTCACCATATGGTTCTTGGACTTCGATCTCGCCACTTGCCCGATTTCCTTCTTCTGTCTGTGCGACGAAACCCCGCCTGTACACCTTCCGTAGCCCAGATCCTCGGACTGCCGGTTCGCCCTTCTTTCGCTCTCGAGTCTGTGCCTCCTGGGCAGCGTCATTGTCTTCGACGACAAGATCCACTGCGTCGGGCGGTAATATTGGAGGGCTCGATGGCCCTGCTTTAGAGTTAGTGC